TAAAGAACGTGGCCATAATAATAATAAAGCTAATGTGTGCAAGCATTGTGCAACACGTTTTGTTTATGCTAACAGCAACCAACATGTCAGGCTAACAATCAACATATACCGAACCAAACCGAAAACCGTGACCACGAAACCGTGAACCGAACCGAACCGTGGATTTTGTGAACCGTTCCACCCCTACCTGATATAGAAATGTACTTTAATAATAATAAGACCAAGTAAAATATATAAAAGATATAATATATACCTTAAACATGGTAAGAAAAACACTTCTCATTAAAGCTCTATGCAAACAATGTTTCTGTACCTACAGGCTACAACAAGAAGACTTCTCGACAGGATAGTTGTAGCGGAATCAAAGAGTGCATTTTTTTTGGAATTGTTTTGTGAATAAATTCACTTTTAAAATATGATTACTTCAGGAGTTCAGCTTGCACATTTCTGCCAATTTATACAATGCTTTTTCTTTTAATGTTTTGATTACTAGCTGATAATGAACCATATTTTTTGCTAACGATGAATACATCTTCATTGGGTAAATCTGTTATTTGGGTCCATCAGTGTTGTGCAGAGTCTGGTAGCCTGTCAGTGATACCCTGCTGTGTGTCTTTCAGTGGGCGACGGGAGAATGGGGCACCCAGAGGAAGCACCGTATGATGCCATCCATGTTGGTGCAGCAGCTGCCAATGTCCCCCAAGCTGTGAGTCATTCTGAGGACTCTTTATTCTGCTTAACATTGGCCGTTCGTTTTATTCCAAACCAGTGAAACCCAGTTTAAAATATATTGATTTGTTTTGTTTTTATTCAAAAGCAGTTTTACTTTATTATAAATTAATAGATACTTATTATTAAAGAATAATTTTGTTTTGTTTTTTGGAGCCTATATTTGCAAGGTTAAATGCTAAGTTCATGTTATTTTCTGTTTGTCAGAATTTTTTACCTCATGGTAGGAAATATAAACTGAAACGCCCTTAAAGTCCAAAGCATACTGTATTTTGTATAACATGAAATTTTAAAATGCATGAGTACTTTTCCTCTCTTCTTTTAGAATAACCTGGGCGTTAACATGTTTTCCATGTACAGCTTTTGGACCAGTTGAAGCCGGGCGGCCGTCTGATTCTCCCAGTCGGCCCGGCTGGAGGGAACCAGATGCTGGAGCAATATGACAAGCTGGAGGATGGCAGCACCAAAATGAAGCCCTTGATGGGGGTGATTTATGTGCCTTTAACAGACAAAGACAAGCAGTGGTCCAGGTGGAAGTGACTTCCTTCTCCTCCTCCTCCCTCTCTCTCTTCTTCTCACAGTTGGCAAAGATGAAATGGTTTGGCTTGGAGCAAGCAATGGAGCACAAGAGGCTGCATTTTGCTGCTTGTTGACATTTTTTGCTTCTTCCATACCATACCCACTAGCTGCACGTTTCCGTTTACATTTTTCTTTAACACCTAATTAAAAATTAAGTCATTAAAACCACCCTCTAATCCGGTTTGATCTTTTAGGAACCAAAATGTTATTTGAAGCTGTGCTTAACATGCTGGGTTTCAAAAAGCATGATGATTCAGTCGATTTGGATGCCTACCACACATAAAAACACCAACATTCTGCTTAGTTTTCCCTGAGAGACGTGAACAAAAACCGGCTACTGTTTGACTTTTAGCATGACATTTTGCATGCGGTTCTTCACTATTTGCATGACAGGTTGATGTCTTCTCTCACGTCTCTTTTCTAACATTTACTCTTTTTTTTTTCTTTCTTTTTTTTCCCACAGGGATGAACTCTGAATAAAAGACGGAATACTCGGATGACATCTGACAGGCCCTGAATTTTGTTTCAAGCATTATAAAACATGCTAATTTTTGTTTGAGTGAAATGAGGGACTTCGAGAATAACACTGATGACAGCTCTGAAGGGCTGCAAGAAGAGACTGCTTGAAGCTTCATGCAGAAATATTCAAAAGGGTTTTTTTTTTCAGCTGGGTGATATTTTCTTCCATGTTTTGCCCCATTTAAAATGCAGTTAAAAAATTTTTTTATTATTATTTTTACATGACATTTCAGCAGGGTCAAAGCTGGATGTACAAGCAGAACATGAAATAAAAATACCCAACGCTTTTAGATAATTCACCTAGCTACAGCTTGTGTGTGTGAGTGTGTGTGTCATCTAACTGTAGGGTTTTCTGCAAGAATATAAGCTCCCCCCCCCCTTGCCAGCAGTATTAAAATACTTAAACACATACAGCATCATGGCTAAAAGGTTGATGTTGCAGAACATTTCTGCACAAATTAAACACACAACACACTGGATATACTTTAAAATAACAAGAAAACACAGCTGGGCACCGATCTCACCAAAATGCATGCAGGTACAGGGCTGCGCTTTCCACCTGGTGATGTGTTGTTTGCTGCCGCTGGTTTCCCCTTTCCAACGTGTACAGGCTACATTGGGAGAGTTGCTGCTTTGCCAAAATAAACATCGATACAAAGCAAATGACTGTTTTTCTGATGACAAAATAACAGTTAAATAAGCACATTCGGTTTGGGTGGATCTGATCGACTGACCGGTATTTGGATTTCACAGTATCTGGAATGGCATATGAAAATAAAGAGTCGCTTTTATTTTGTTTGTTGTAGATTTTTTCTGTCCTTGCAAACCGCTACTTTGCAGAGAAAATTGAGAAATTGTGACTTTGTCACAAAAATGTTATTAAGTTTTTAGGTTTAAATTAGCAAAAATTCTAAGTTCATTTTGGGAGATCCCAAACAAAAAAAAAAGTCAAGATCCTGAAAAAAATGGATGCTTCAACTAGTGTAATTTTGCCAGGATAACATAAAATCCTTTTGAGCTTTTGCAGAATCTTAAGTGTCTTAGTTTTGAGAAAACCGAAATCTTTGTGAGATCTTGATTTTCTTTTGATGAGTCTTGTGAGATGCAGAAGCTCCTCAGCAAATCCACAAATTCAAAGTTATTTGAGCTGTATGACTTCAGGATGCCCTCAGCCAATCATTACACAGCATCTGTTCCTTTAAGGGACCTGCTCCCGAGAAGGTAACAAAAAGGTCTAAGTGGACTGGGACAGGTCATGGAAAAGATTTGATGAAATAAAGTTATCGTTTTTGTTCTTGCACTTGTTAAGATATTCCTTAACTTTCAAGCAACATAAAAATGAACTGTTGTAGAAAGATTCCAATGCCCACAAAAAGTTAAGTCTTCATTGTTATTTTGGAGATCATAATGTTTGGTTTTTTAAAATTCCTTCATTCAATCCTCTGATTTTCGGCTAAACCAAACTTAAGGTATTACACGATTAACAAATGTACCTGGATTACAGATATAATTCAACATTTTTGAAGATATAATTAATTTAATGCACCTGCACAATCCACAGTCCTAAAGGAAAAGGTATTAATATTTTAGTGATCAGCTCTGAGCAAAATGTCAAGTAAAATTTGTATATGATTATATGGTTTCATGCACCAGGGTTTAAGCACCTCAGAGGTTTTGGGTTATTCCAGTCTGAGGTCTTCTTGTATGGAGGTTGGAAGATTCCCAGTATTTCCTCCCGCAGTCCAGACATGACATTTTCATTGACTGGGTTACTCTAAATTGACTCTGGCTTTCGCCCGGTGACTTAGACGAGGGATGGATATAAAATAATAAAAGAATACATTAAAACATTTTTCCTCCTTTCAGCAGTAAGGATCAATAACCACACTATTATTATTCCCTTAAAACACTTTTATTTATTTTTTTCTATTAAACTGAACTAAGAGTCAATAATGGCTTATATCTTTACACTAAAGACAAAACATGCTTTAAAGACAGATGGATAAAGTAATTTACAGGACATAGTTGAAACAGAATTTGCTAATTATAACCGTGGTTACCAGGCACTCCAGTATGCATCAGTCAGGCTAACTGGGGTAACAAATGTAGCACAAATATGTCACATTAGTGACACCCAGTGATAAAAAAAAAAAAAGCCATTTTGTGAAACACTTGAAAAAGAATTTGGGCAAAATTATGCCAGATTTGAAATACTCAGACTGAATCTATATCTATGTAATTTGAAAGTAAAATCATAGGTTTGAAACTGAATTTAATCGCTTATATTTTAGACAATTATTTAAACAGCTATTTTTGAATTAATGATTGATTTTGTACATTTTCACTTTCTTTGCAATAATTCAATTTCAGTTTGAACATTCATTCTTTTACTGTGTCGGACATTTAGGTCCTCTAAGAAAAAAAGTAATCAATCACAGATTTACATTTCTTATCGTCAGAGGCTTCACTCAATATATGAGGACAAATAAAATGGCATTACAACCGTGGCACATTATGCTAGTTTAGATAAAAACTAATTAAAATAAAAATGCTGCTTCTTATACATGGTCATTTGATATTGCTTTTACCAATTTAATGTAAAAACTCCACTGCTTCAGCTTGAAATGCAGTAAAATACCTTTAACCTGATCAGTGAATCTGTCTTTGTTTGCTTAATGGCTTTAAGAGAAGAAATACATGTCAAATCAAATTTATTTAATTCAGGTTCAAATTAGTAAAATTCATATTCAAACCAATGCATTTACTTTGAAATTACACAGATTCTGATTTATTCTGAGCAATCCATATATAGTTTTTAACCAGGGAGGAATAGCCATACATGGGGGGTTTTGACGGTGAGCATCTATACAATGACAAAATATAAATCTTCATTGGTTTATAATAAGTTTTTTCACAAAACATGAATGCACTTATTGAAGCTTGAATATGTTTTAATGATTCCAAAGGGAGCAGCATTACAGTGTTAGTCAGACAGGTTCAGTGTGCGGGTGTTGCTTTCAGGGCAGCATAGCGTACAGATGTTCTGATTTGAGATGTAGGGCTGAAAGTAAGACAAATTGCAAACTCTTACATCTCTGCCCAGCTTCTTCAGCTACAGATACATGCCGTTGATGAGGTAATCAGACTCCTCTGTGGTGAGGGGCCGTGCTTTCTTTAGCTTATGACGAACAAGTCTAAGGCGACAGCCGATCATGAGAAGCAGCAGAGTGGTGATGAGGATGCCAAGCACCAGCGGTAGAATTGCACCTGGAGGGAAGAAATTTTTTTTTTACCCAAAGAGCAGAATTCAAACTACAAAATATTAGCACAGAAAATATGGCTAACCCGACTCTGGGCCTAGGTGTCCTCCTTTAACTGGAAATGGCTTAGAGATCAAGTCACTATTTCCCTGGCTTTGTGAGATTGTAGCAGCAACTTAAGAAAAAAATATATAAATATAAATACATACATATATAAGAAACTGCCGCTATTAAACTCTGTAATTCTGATATGTAAAGCAGGTCATATTTAATAAATGGATTTACCTGTCTCAGTCTGCTTGGTGACAGGAGGAGTTGCATTTGTTGGCATGAAGGCTGAGCCTAAAAGACAATAACGTAAAAAAATGATTAAAGCTTTAGCTTTTTCTAATCAAAACACGATCCTAAAACATCCTCTTACTTTTCTGTAAGCATTCGCCGACACAGTCAGACTCCTGGAGGAAGTTGTTATGGTTACCCTGGCAACCCCCATACAGAAAGTGTTTGCATTCTCCCACCTTTTGGTCGAAGTACCAACGAGGGAAGGTGCCTTTACAGGGCCCAACGACTGGAGCTGCAGCACATGGATCTGCTGGAACAGATACACTTATTATACAACTGAAATATCATTTTGCAAAAGTATTCACACCTTTTAAACTCTTATTTTATCGTATATGACAAAAAAAAAAAAAAAAAAAGCTAGAAGATGTAGAAATCAGATTTAAATTACATTGTAATTTGTAAAGTATGTTTGAATTAAATATAAAATGTATTCACTCCTGAACTTGCAATAAAAAACCAGCTTTCACTTCAGTCCCAGCTGTGGCTCTTTGGGATAACCCCCTGCCAACTTTGCACATCAAGCCTCTGAATCCCAATCCATAGCAGAGGTGCTGGCAGTAAGAAAGGAAGTAAAAAAAAAAAGGAAGCAGGATGCATCCTATCGATAGCTCATTTAGCATAAGAACTTCCTGACGTTCCTATCTGCCGCATAGGAGCAATACAGATTCCCACAATCCTTTGTGTGACGGAACATTACAGTTCAAACAAAACTTTATTTCTTCATTTGTAATCTGGGCGACACATTCTAATGTGAACACCTTATGTTTGGGGTTTTCAAATGGAGAGATTTTAGGTTAATGCCTGTCAGGGTTCAGCACAGCAGTCTGCAGCTCCCCTTCCACCCTGGATAGAGTTCTTACTGTTTGCCCTGCAAAAGGTGAAGGGATAGAGGAGCTAGCAGGTAGGAGCTACAATATGTGTGATTTGAGAGGAGCCTGAGACTAAAATTTGTGCTGATCTTTGTTCTCCAAACAACTTGACCTCGAAGTGGTGACGCACATTTTACATGAACCTATGTCTGGACTTAAAGTAGGACTTGAAACCAGTACTTCTGTTAAATCTTTGACCCAGTCTCAAATCTGTTACGGCCCCTAAAAGTTCTTCTCCTGTTATCTATCATCCGATCAGGTGCCCAACCATTCTGTTAAAAATACCCCACAGAAAATTGCTTCCAATACAATGTTTGATTGTTATAATGATGCGTTCTGGGTCAGGTGCTGTGTTGGTTTTCTGCTGCACATAGTGTATCTCTTATAATGGCTTCCTCTAAAGAGTCAATAAAAGCCAACATGTGTGCAGTGCACAAGACCCTTTGTCTGCTCCTTTGATTGCTGCTCTCCTTGCTCTGTCTGTCTGTTTCCATTTTAATGGTGGATTAAGCAGAAAGGTGTACAGTAAGAACATGGCCTCTATTCACTAATAAGTTGATTCTGAGGGGGGCTGGTGGTATGCTAACTGGAAACACGACCTACAAATAAGTAAAAAGTTCTTAAATTAAGTGTATTTACCCTTAATTTGAGTAGGTAAAAGAGATGATTTGCAAATTAATGAGTATTTTTACTCTTAAAATTTGATATTTAGATAAAAGGCACTTGAAATAAGACAATGCAATTGTGTTTTCTTAATTTTAAGTTTAAATTGTCTTGTTCCATTGGCAAAATGTCTCTTTTACCTCCTTAATTCAAGAACAAATTCACTTATTTTAAGAAAAAATTACTTATCTAGATTTAGACCAGTGGAATTCATTTTATAGTAAAGGGGGGTAAAGAAAGTACACAACAAACTTTACAGATTTTTAGTTTTTTTCGTCAAATAAGGTTAAGTGGCTCAATAAATGTCACCACATACTTAGCTATTATGACTTGCCACCTTGGAAACATACAGAGGAGTCTTGGCCTAGTGGTTAGAGCAATGTGAGAAGGTTGCAAGTACCCGTTTTGATTCCCACAGCCTGCACTCTGGGTTCCTGAGCAAAACCTTTAACCTCACACAGGGACGGATTTAGGAAATTTGGGGCCCTAGGCAAAGACAGGCATGGAGCCCTCTGAATTGAGAAGACAACACATAAAACAGACCCATTATATGGATACAGAAATTTTAATATAATAGTTAATCTTTTTCTACGTTTTGTCCCTCTTCTTGTTTTCCTCTCTCTGTTTTGTACTCGGCTGACTTTTCATGCCGTCTCAAAAGGAATGAAACTAAGCTCACTTAACCGATTGCTCCTTCCTGTGTTTCCAAAAAGGCGACAGCAAAAGTAAATGACCCAGTCCTTCTTTCCACTGTAGACAAACTATTATCTGCTAATCGGTTCTCAATTTTCCATTTGTATGAAACAATAGCTGCATGAATCATGACAGGAGACAAGAGAGAGGAGAGCAGGAGGCGGGTTACCAAGAGTTCGCTGCTTTTATATCTTGTTGCCAAAGTCTCCATTAGCAGAAAAAAAAGTCACTACATTTGGCGCTAGGTGCTTTTTTGAAATAAAAGCACTAGAGGGGTCTGAAAAGAGCTGAATACACCTGTGACTGAGACACACTTATTATAAGAATTCTGAAGGCGTTTTAAGGGAATTTTATAAAAAACATAATTAATGTGCACAAATAATAGCTGTATTAACCATATATGGAAAAGGAGTTTTATGGGGCCCCCAGGAACTTGGGGCCCTAGGCAACTGCCTAGGTTTGCCTAATGGTAAATCTGCCCCTGACCTCACACTGCTCTCCGGGCGCCACACAATGGCAGCCCACTGCTCCGCAAGGGTATAGAACAAATGAAGAGAGTGAAATCCACATTGTGGGACAATATAGGGATTTACATTACATTTGAATTAATTTAAAGAAAAATAAAAACAGCTTTTGAATGGATATCAATTGTATATTGTATGTATAGTAATCCATATTTATCCTTGGATTTATGTTTACTCAGTTACTAATATATTATGACTGAGTTATTTTATTTTCCTCCAATATAAATTAGAGCTAACTGACAAAGAGCAGGAAAATAGCTGCTTACATTGGGGATTAAGGTTTTGAACCAGGTAATGGTCAAACCGATTAGTAACATGAGAGCATTTGATCTTTTTTGCATACTTTTGTACACAGAAAAAAAAAAAACAAGTGACTAATATTGACATCTTTTAACAATCATTTTTGAAGCGTTATTCCCAGCAATGCGGGAGAACACATTTAGTGTATTTGGTGTAGTGCTTAAAGTCTGTTTAACAGCGATGGGTAAAGGTGGCCTTTTGGCCAGTCTCAGTCTAATTCAGGGATCAGATGGCATCAGATACAGAGGAGCTTTGTTCCTGCACTCAGAGGGGATGCAAGCTAAGAGCTGCTTTTCCAGGGAATGCAGAGTGCTTCTTTGGCTCTGCCAGCATTTAATGCTCACTGCCATGACTCAGTGGCTGCCTGCAGGCTCCATCTGCTCTTATGTCCATACACATGCTGCTTTACAAAAAGGAAAGACACTAAGGACTCAGAAAAAATGTATTGTTTAGAAAACCGTTTACCCAGGATAAACTGAAGCAAGATAAACGCCTGAATACTCTTTATATAATCTACGTTTACATGTACAAAGTGTCACAACTGGATTTAAATGAATTGGCAAGTGAAAAACAAAAAATAATTATAAGTAATTTGAATAAAACATGTGATCACACTGAACATGCTGGTTGGAATATTATAGCATCCAGCTGCTGTGAAATGCGTCACACAGATGTAGAGTAAACATACAAATCAGCTAGTGTAATTCAGAATAACTTGATCCTTAAAACTGTTTACATGCATATTGATCGGATTCCCAACCACCCCTCTCAGTGCCAATTGCGACTATATATGAATCAAGCTCTACTACAAAGCATTTTGAGTGGGAACACCTTCCTACCATGATCAACAGAAGCCTGCTCACCCAGGCTCTGAGGATAAGCAACCTTGCTTCTGTCCACTGCTGATACAACTGTTCTTCTGGACCCATCTGGAATCATGGGGGTATCCTCTCCCTGCTCTGTCTGTGCAACAGGCTTCTGAGGGATGGGACGATCTGCAGGGTGGGTCACTGACTTCCGGCCACCATCAACTAGAAAACAAAGTACACTGATGAGCTTTTATCATTGAATTGTAGATTTATATATTTTTGTATTTTAAATAGTAAGAATTCGTACAGTTTGTGCAGAAGTCCTCATCAGAGCGGTCCGGACAGTGCTGTCTCCCATCGCAGGCGTAGGAGATGTCAATGCAGCAGCCATCATCACATTTAAACTGGTAGTTGGAGCAGTCACCAGTGCAGACTGGGAACACAGAATTGAATAACTACTTAACGAACTTTAAAAAAACCAGAAGCAATGGTGCGAACAGTTTTGGTGAAGCTCTCAACCTTCTGCCTGGTGTTTTGGTGCCAGCACAGTGACAGAGACGTTGTCTGAGCTCTTCTGTCCCGCCGTGTCTGTAACTGTCACCTGGAATGTGTAGACCCCCTCCTGGAGACCACTGACCTTCAGCAGCCCTGGATGGGTCACCTGCAGTGTGCATAAATAAAACATGGCAGCCGCAACAGATCTGACATGAAATTGTAGTTTTGAAGATTAAATCAACCTGATTCTTTTAGTGACATCCTGCTATATGTGGGAGCTACCACAGGTCATTCATCCATCCAGCAACCAGACTCTACAATGCGACACTACAAGGGCAATAAGATGTGCAATGTATACTGTGCAATTAACCTGTGCAATAACTGTTTCTCTATATTTGACAGCTAGTGCAATAAGTATATATATATAAAAATCCATCTATATAAATACCATTGTAAACAAACTGTGCAATAACCCTGTATAATAACCCTACTATTAAAAAAAAAAGTTGTCATACGTGTATGCACTGTATATACTGTATATATCCCACACACCTTTTTCTTCCTATGGCACCTTCTTATTACCCTTTACTTTTTGAGCTGATGTAACGAATAAATTTATCAACTGTGAGATCAATAAAGTCAATCAATCAATATCATATTGAAAAAATACTATCTATTATCCGATTAAAGCTGAAATGTGTTTCTTCTACTGTTTTTCTACATAAATGTCCACTTTATCCACTTTAAATATGTGGTTATAGCATTTCCTCTCATCCTTACTGTTAAATGTACAGAAACCTGAACTGTTCTAAAAGAGAAAATCTATTTATAAGAGCAGGAAATCATTCCTGAGGTTCTGGTTATTCAGGTTTTCTTTGAGCACTGGGATAGAAAACAAACCCTAATATCTGTTGATAAAGCGTACAAATATGGAGCAGTTCATTCAGGTCCACCTGTTTACAAACGGTGAAAATACGCGCATTTTATTCACCTTTGTTCATGACAACAATGAGCGACTATTCACAGTGGAAGTTCAAATATTTGCAGCATCTGACTGTGAGCACATATCAATGGAGCTGTGCACCAGCCTTTTTTACTGCAGCTCTATACTACAGCAATTTCTACTGGAGCTAAAACTTCACAGCCACCTGGATCATCAAAACAAAATGTATACTTAACTGTAAAAGTTTGCTTTTTCAAAAAACTATTTACATGTAGAGTTGTTTTTGTAGTTTGGATAGTTAATGGAGGAATTTCAAAATCTCCTGTACTTCCTTGTAGTTTTTGTGTTGAAATAAAGTTTAAAACAAACCTTCATATTTATGGCTGTATCGCCTTTAACGAGAGTCCACTCATAGTCGGTGATCCTGTGGTCGTCCACGCTATCCCTGCCGTCCAGGATGGCCCAGTCGGTGGGCAGCTGGATCACTACGTCCTGTCCAGCGTCGCAGCGAGGAGGCTCGTCCACCTCTGCAAATTTGATCAGTTGTTAAATCCTGTAACTTTCATTTGCTGTTAATGTCCAGTTTGAGCTTATTTATTTTAACTCAGCATTGATTTTAGATCATTTTCTACCAACGAAGCATAGCATAACATGAATATTTCGCTGTATCATGATACAGCGAAATAAAAACTTCTAAGTTATGAAAAAAAAAAGATAATTTTCTGACTACATTTGTTAAAAAATCCACCCCAAACAACAGTGAACATGTCTTATATTTAGGAGGCTGAAAACTAAATGGATCCACTTTAAACCATAATCATGCAGCAACCATAGAGCTAAAATCAGACAATCAAACAACTTGTTCTATATTTACTTTTATCACTGGTGTGACAGCTAAAACTACACAGCAGCTGCTCCTGCTCTCAACATCCTGATCACGTTTTACAAAACAATCATTAATCCAGCCGTGCTCCCTTATCAGGGAAACTAGCAACTCGTGATATTTAGAATGTCTTCACTTTAATGCTACCATTTTTTATCCCTAAACAACCTTTAATCCTTAAATACAAAGAATGTTTTTAAGTGCAAACATTTGCTAAAATTTTATTTTCGGTAATGTTTCGTGAATTGCTTTTAATAGATGTTACAGAAAAAATATTCCACATTTTCATGTGAAATAAGTGCATGTTTAACAGTTTCTGGTTCATAAAACTTCTCTGCTAGACAAAAAAAAATACTGTAGTATTTAGACGGCATTGTTTGCAGAAAACAATGGCATCTATTTTTTTTTATTAATTTTAAATTTAATTTCTAATAAAGTTTTATTTTTTCTCGCATTTCCTAAACATATCCTTATTTCTTTTTTAAACAGACCATCCATGATTCTTTAAACTTCACCACTAATTGACCAGACTGAAACTAGAGCTGAGTAAAACTTAAAGTTTATACATTTGCAAACATATTCAGAGTATTGGAGTATTAGATTAAATCTAATTTCAGGCCTCAACCTTAATATACTTGATTTGACAGATCAATGCAAAGAAACTAATAATTGTTTCTTTAGTATTCCACCACAACTAACATATGAGGCTAAAGCTGACTTCCCGATGTAGTTTCTGCTTTGAAAAGAGTGCTGAAAAGTATTTCTGCCTCATGTTTCTCTCTCTACCATTTTTAACTTGGTCTAGTTTAAAAAAATAACAACAATACTGATCAAACCTGGATTCCAGCATCAGAATCTTCAGTTAAAGATTTGTTAAACCTTTAAGTTAATTTTACCTGTAGACAAAAAAAGCTCCAAAGGTTTGAATTAGTCTACATGATGTAATATTAGTTTTTGCTTCTCATTGTGCTTTTTGTAAAACCTGTAAACTAAACCAAGGCATAAAACTCATAAGCTTCTCTATAAAAATAAGTAAAAAAAAAAAATTACCATTCTAGTGGTCCTGCTAAAAAACTACTTTATTTAGTATCTTCAGGCCCGGACTAGATCATTCTACTATAAAAGCAGATTTTCTCAAACTCAATTCATTTTTAATTATATATTTTAAATTAAATTTTTTTTTTCTTTTGCCACTGGAGATTAAAATGATCTAGATCAGAAACTAAAATACAGACTCATTACACACGGGCTAGATTACTCTGACAACAGAATACTTTTAAACATAGATGGATTTAGGGGGGCCAACAGGAGGCCAGTGCCCATTATGGCCCCTGTACAAAAACAAAAGTTTTTTCTTCAATGAAGTGTATTTTATCTTGATTTAAGCCAGTGGGTAAGACAATTTGTCAATAGAATAAGATGATTTAAGTTTAAAATATATATATATATATATATATATATATATATATATATATATATATATATAAAACAACATTGTATCTAACTGTCTTCTTACAAGGGAAAAAATAATAATTCCTTTGAGAGATTTTTTAAATTCACCTGCTTGAATTAAGGGAAAAATAAACTTATTTTAAGAAAGTTTTAAGTAGCAGGACTAGTTTTTGCCGAGTAATCCAAAATCTAATTATCATGTTTATTATTATTGTTTTGTTTCTTCTCTGATTTGAATTGACATACTTTCTCTATTTAATATTAAGATGTTGGCCGACTTATCACCATGGTTTAATGGAAACCTCATGCAGATGTTTTAGTAAAGGAATAACATTACAGTTCAGTGTCATTTGTTTCTGTTTTGCTCCCACCTTGTGTTTCCTCCCCCTGAGCGTGCCCTGGCCTCCCGGTGCCCTCACTGTGAGAACCAGGCAGGCGTCCCTGCGATTGGTTGGCAGTCCGGCTGTAGGTGGTGAAGCCTTCCTGCGCTGCGAAGGAGCAGATGTTTTTATTCATATAAGTGCAGTTAAACAGGTAACAGTTGAGGCTTTCTCCAGGCCGCCTCAGATCCTCCTGAACCACCGCCACCGTGCAGTGAGGCAGAGAGCAGCAGGCGTGCAGACAGTCCCTCCAGGTGAACACCGACTTCGGAGCCAACAGGAAGGCGGCTCCCTGCTCTATGGAGGCCTGCGTCCGGATGATGCGCTCCTCCGCGGCGCTGAAGTCGCCCACGCAGGAGTCGCTTACGTCGGCCGCTCTGTAAGCCTGGTCCTGCTGGAGCTGCTTTCGGAATTCCTCCAAAAGCTCTTCCACTCCGGATATTTTAGATTTCAGGTCTGATATCTGCGAGGACCGCGCGTGTAAGCGGCTGGTAAAGAGGAGGAGAAGGCAGGGAAGCAGGAGCCGGGGATGCTGAGGCAGAGCCATGTTGTTGTTCACTCAGTGAAACAGCGGCTCCCTCTGCCTCCTGAGGGACTCAATCAGCTGCAGGGGGTCTGCCAACATCAAACACACACCAGCTGGGGGGATTTAAACAAAAAACAAAAACAAAACAGACGAAATAAGAAAAGACATCTGCATCTACAGCAAAGCAGGTAAACGTCTGTCTCCCAACGATGCTAAAAAAAAATCTGCCGTTGTCATGGTGAGGGAGGGACTATAAACCCTGACGTCACACTGATAATTGATAAACCAATATGGCGATCGCTTACGGAAGAGAATTTGAGCGATTGAAAAAAAAGAAAAAGTTAACTGATTTTTAAATTTTATTTCAGTTTAATATGGGAAAAAAGTCATAATTCTGACTTTTTTTCTCAGAATTCTGACTTTAATCTCAGAATTCTGATTTTTTTTTCCTCAGAATTCTAACTTTAATCTCAGAATTCTGACTTTTTTTTTTCCAGAATTCTGACTTTAATCTCAGAATTCTGAGGTTTTTTTTTTATAAGAATTCTGATTTTAATCTCAGAATTCTGACTTTTTTCTCAGAATTCTGACAGCTAACAAAAATGTTAGCATCAAGCCATAGCCATGTCTATTTTAGAGACTACCTCTCTTGTTTTACCGTAATGACCTTCTGCTCCTCCATTAATGAGGGGATCCCTCAGGCACGTAAAAGTTGCCTAATTCCGTCATTTTCCACCAATGTGTCACTGGCCCTCCCAAAAAACTCACATCTTTGCCAGTTAAGCTGAGTGCTCCCACATCTCTTCCTTCATGGTGCCCATCTACGTACATTAAGATCCAAAATTCTGAGATTAAAGTCAGAATTCTGACTTTTTTCCCTTATAAAACGGAAATAAAATGTAAAAATCTGTTAACTTTTTTTTTTCCAGTGGCCCTAATCCTCTTCCGTAATCACCCCTAACTCCAATACACCAATTAAATTACAAGCCAAAGATATTATCTTACACTATACTAATAATGATAGGAAAATGCAACTCTTGGTTAACTTGGTTATTCTAATTGCAAAATTCCACATACACAAAACCAAATATTCCAAAGGTCGACCTTTCTTCCCTGTGTTTGAAAATGATAAAAAAAAATTACTTCAATTATACCCAAAGAATAAGCAATAAAAAATGTATACACACTGTTAACGTAATTCGGGAAATATTTGGAGAAATGTAATATATCATGCCTCCCTTTTTTATTTATTTATTTTTATTTATGTTGTTCTGTTAAAATCTCTTCTGTTATTTATTTAAGCTATAGTATGTCATATCTTAATTCTAATTGTACTCCATCATCAAACACTTATTTTAGAGATACCGTCCTATATCTTGTGATATTTTTTGTCAATGTTTTGTAATGTGCAACTTTTCAATAAAGTTTTGGGGAAAAAAAATGGCGATCACCAGTTAGAGCAACTACCTAGCAAATAAATGTTCATCTGATGGTTTACAAAATAAATATAACCAATGTATCACATATAAAATGTCTTTATAAATGCATTGCAGATCTATCAATAGCCATAATTACATGCAATATTGCCGATAAGTGTAGTTAAAACTCCAGTTTGTTGTGTCTTAAATTCATAAATTATTTCAGCATCATTTTTTCAAGTTTTTCCATGTTTTCTTTTAGGGTCATAACATAATACAAACTGAAAATTTCCCACTAGAAATTAGATTTTGGTCAACAGACAATATTTTTTTTTTTACTCAGACCAATAACCTTGTCTGTTGATAAGTGGAATGTTAAATAAATGTACAATGTGTTTCAATACATGACTTAAATGATTGAATACGAGTAAATATATTTAAATAATTTTGTAAAAAAAAATCTGATCTGTATTTATTAAAATATTTAAAAGGGTAATATGAATTTTTGTTTGTATCATTCATGTGTTTCCAATTTTATTTGAATATTCACCATTTATAATGGAAAATTGTCAAAAGAACAGCTTCAGAGAACACACACTTCCCCATATATGGTCCTTCAGCCTGTAGCTCTTTAACAACTTAAGGGATCATACCTTGCCTTTTATGAAAACTGTTAGAGTAAACATCTGGTGAACGAAGGAGCTGTTATCCAAAACTAAAGCTTTGATTATAATCAGATGTATCACTTGACTGCTGTTGTATAAAAAAGGAGGTTTCCATCCAAAGATCCTTTATGCAATAACTTGATTAAATAAAGAAAAATATTTTTTGGGGGGCTGTTTTGGATCAGTAGTACTGCAGAAGAACATGTATATAGCCCTCGTCAGACGGACATAATTTTTGCCTATTCCACTTTGCAAAATTGTTAAAGATGTCGATATCAAGAGTTGCTGCTGATATCTCTGTTGGATTTTGGTCTGGACTTCAACTAGGCCATAATAACCCGTGCTTTAATCAATACATTCCATCAAGCTCTGAATGAATTTATAGGATTGTTATACTGCGGGAAAAAGAAACTCGTCTGCATTCTGAATTGTTACGAATTCTATGTTTCTGCTGATGGATTATCAAAGGATCATGCTGCCACCATAGTGTGTTCAGGGGAATGCAGATTAAACTCAATGTCACAAATAGCACTGTAAATCTGTTGACATTTATTTTTGATCTATTTTGACCTTGGCCAAGTGTTTACTATGCTAGTGGATTAAAAAATAATTTGTGCCGTTATACACGGGAAAAAATGTTACAAAGTATTCCACCTGAGCTGTAGATTATTTAAGTTAGACCTCATTCCTGCTGTCCTTTTCCCATCTGTCATTTTAGGGAGAAAACTATGTCTTAGTATTTGTCCAATCATGTGCAGTTTGTCTCTCTCTGCATTTTACTAACATTATTTTAGCAGTTTTAAATTTTGAAATCTCTTGCTAGTTCATTCAGAGGTAAAATACTAAAAGAAGAAACACCGTAATTTCTAAAAGTCTGGCTAAATAGTGGATTGCATAAATTTTCCCTCAAGAAAATAGAATAATAGATAGGAAAATAAAACTGTAAAATAACATCTTACACATTTTTTCACAGCTTCAACATGAACGTTTTTATTTTAACAATAGCACAAATATCTTGAATCATCTTGAATATAAAATGAAACATACAAACTGCTCATGATTATTTCCCCCATTTCAGAGAAAACAGTTATAAAAGACCCACAAATGAGAAATTTGCATTTTAAAATTTTCACCAAAAGGTACATCTGACTCAGGGATTACAAGCAAGGTATTAATTCAACTGTGCCAGCATACAACAACAAAAGCCGATGATAAAAATCATGTTAAATTAATTAATTATGAACTGAATGATACTTCCTATGAGATCTGAGGCTAGAAAATACATAATTTACAATTCTTATTTCCCATGTCTTCATCATATAGACTTGGTCCATTTCACATGGAGGTTTGGCTATGCTGAGCAACATCTTCTATAAATTACATAAAAGTCATTCACAGAGGATGTATAAGATATTTACATGAAGAGTCCGTTTTGCAATAAACTGAAGATGTGAAGCTCAACAAGAAATTTAAAAGAAAATATTTAAATAAAAAGAAAATTAAAACAAATGCAATGAGCATGGACTGATGTGTCCCACAGTACAATTAAATAAAATCTGCTTAAATAAAGTAGTGATAAGGGTTTCTTGATAATAATAAAAAAAATGTTAGTAAAGATGATGGATGTAGTATTTTGTATCTCAGGCTTTTTTAAATAATGAAATAAAAAAATCATTCAGTCACTGTTGCTGTAAACGTAACAAAAAAATCGAGAAAATGTTTTGTTCCAGACAATCTTACTACTATTTTTTTTTTTTTTCAGACCTGTGACAACAACGAAGTATTTTATCCTACGGTCCTTTTAAAAACCAATGGCACTTTTTAAAGAGTTAGTCCTCCAAAAGTTCAGAATCTTTATTTCCCCAAAAGGTTTCTTGTGTGGTTGGAAAGCTGTCATGCCCTCACAGCGCAGGAAGGTTTTTTTCCTCCTAAACGACTGCGTGTTCCTATAAATACTGAGGTAAAAGATGAAGGATGCTGAGCTGGTTGACGTCAGGCTGGCTTCTGCCTGAAGTCTGTGATGGCCTTCCATAGTTTACACAAAACTCCACCTCTGTTGCAATGACAAAAGAGAAAAGGCAGTTAGCTCAAAGGTAACTATCGTCAGTTTTCCACTATCATATGTTTATTTAGTGCGATACTGTTTTGATAATGCACTTGATGATCATCTATTTTAATCATTCATTTGAGATTCAAAGAGTATGAAACATCTTTAAGATTGAGTATAAACAACGTAATTCATAGTGTGATTTGAAATCCTGCGTGAATGGGAGTGAAATCGGACAATAGACACCTGGATGGACACTTGGTCAAGTACAAGGACATGTTGCTAAATTGTTTACCGATATGTTTGTATGACTACACAATCCAACAGTACTATTAAAATTCAGCAAATGCTGATTAGTAATAATAAACCCAATCAGTGCAAAAAATTAAAATGAGGAAGCAATTTTAATTAATATACATAAATTATTTAGAAGTTTAACTCATTACTATATTACGGAAGAGGATTAGGGCCACTGAAAAAAAAAAAACAAAGTTAACAATTTTATTTTTATTTTATTTCAGTATAGTATGGGAAAAAAGTCAGAATTCTGACTTTAATCTCAGAATTCTGACTTTTTTTATTGTCAGAATTCAGTCAGAATTCTGAGAAAAAAGTCAGAATTCTGAGATTAAAGTCAGAATTCTGACTTTTTTTCCCATGTTAAACTGAAATAAAATTTAAAAATCTGTTAACTTTTTTTTTTTCAGCGGCCCTAATCCTCTTCCGTACTAAATTAATCAATAACTTCCATGCATAAGATGGTGAGAATTGGGGGGAAAGTATATGGCAGACAAGGCAGTTTCTTTTTATGCTAAACTGCTGCTTCCAATCTGTCCATTATATTATTCTGAAGAACATTCCAGCAAAACTAAAAGGCACATCATAAAACAATGAAAATATTTATTTATAACTGAAATATAAATTCCACCAGAGGGCGTTACTCACTTTGCAAACAACAGCCTTAAAGGAAAGTTCCCCTATGGATCGTTTAAAAAAGCGATCAAGTAATATTGAAAAATTTTTAAGCCTGCTAATCAGTATATGGAAATGAAAGGTTAATACCCAAGATTTTGTCATGTTTCAACTACAAACTTCTATGCAATTATTTGGGATTTTATACAACATTCCTTCACCAAGTAGGTTATGCCTTTAAAATAAAGGAAAAAGAAGCATTAGTGTTAAAATATTTTAGAAATACATATCTGAATGTGGGTTTGCAAACCCCCTTTTACTATAAAACCCCTAAATTAAGGCTTATGCAACAAGTTGCTTTCAGAAGACCCCTATTCACTAGACTCCACTAGTATGTAAATCATTTTAAGTAGCGTTGGAGACCTCATGGTGCACCAGTCAACCAATCAACTAAATTATGGGAAGAATGGAAGTATAATTGACAGGCCGTAAAAGAAGGACATTAACCATTAAGCCATCTAATAGATTCATAGTAACTCTGGAGGAGCAACAGAGATATGCTGCTCAGCTTGGAAATTCTGTTGGAAAGATGACTATTAGTTATGCACTCCACAAATAGGCCCCCTTTTGAAAGAGTGGTTTATATTTGTGAACTATACCTATGTAGGGGACTATCAGAAGAAGCCTGCATACAAAAGTGTAGCTGCAAACAAGCACAGTTTATCACCTGAACAGCCCCAGGGACAGAGAAACATAGTGATGGCGGCGTAATGCTGTGGGGTTTCTGTTCTTCAGCTATTGACAACAGGTATGTGTTTTATTTTTCTCTTCCCTTAGGTACTGCATATGTTTAAACACTGAAGTTTGCTTTTGTAATATGATAACATCTGGTACAACTTTTGTGGGATGGAAAGTTTTTTAATTGCAGAGAAATAAAACGTTTATTTGATCTTTGACAGCCATCAGATTTAGAGTCCTTTTCACAGCAAAACACCAGGGGTTCTAGGGCATTTCCTGACCCAGTTAGAGCCGATAAGCTAAATTCACTAAAAATACTGTGTAGTTCTTCCATAATAATAAATAAAAATCATGGACTGTTAGTCTTCTAGTGCTCATGATGGCCTACTAAAGTACAAAGTTATCCTGTGCAAACAGTTAAACAGCCCAATATAGGGTGGCAGCAAGCAGCTGTCACAGCTTTACTTCTGTATTCCTGTACAGAGTGGAACAGATGTAACTGTTAGCCTGCATTTCTGTGACTTAAAACGGAACACAGAAGTGAAACTGTGAAGCAGATGTTAGTACATATGTTAATGAGTGAATTTTCTTTTACAACCTCAGTCTTAAACTCTTCAGGTCGTCTCTTGTCACATAATGAAGGATGTCATTTAAAGTATACTCCTCGTTCAGTATCTACAGAGAAAAGCAAAAGAAAATAACAGTTTATTTCCCTTCTGTTCCTGTGGACATGTAATAAAAATGTAACCATGTCTTTGATCTGAATATGGAAACACAACCCACCCTGTCGACAGCGTCTTGGTCAGCACCAGACAGCCTCAGCCAGCTGGTAAGCTTGGGGTCTTCATGTCTCTCAGAAGTTTCCCTTCTCTGTCCCTGAAGGTCCTCTGAAGCTGGAGGGGGTTCTAAAGCAGAAAATTATTGTTTTTTATTTAATCCAATATTAATAATATTTTTGAAATCAGATCTCCCAATCAGAGAACCTGTAGCATGTTTGAGTCTTACAAATCTCAAACCATTTCAGTTTCCTAAATCATTCAGAAATACTTTATTGATCCCAAAGTGATATTAAAAGTTGTAGGAAATATTCATTTCAAACGATTTGTTGTATATGTTGACAGCTGTGTGCAGGAAGGATCCTCTGTAGGGTCTATCGTGCAGACATTTTCTGATTTGACGTAGAAAACAAATCCTGCAAAGTTTTTTATTGAACTTTTAAAAGTCATGCTAACTTCAGAAATAGTTTCAGATCCAAGGCCTGGGATCAGGCTGAGTTAGCCTGATAAACCAGACTAAATGTGAGATAAAATATGTAATTTAGTCTGGCCGTGATAAATGAGACATCGAAGATTGTTGATGAGAACAACCCGTTGTTTTTCAAACTGCTGTCTGTGCCTATTGGTCAACTCTCTGACCAATGAGCGCAACTGACTGTGACGTAGTGAGCGCGACAGAAAGCTGGAGGGGGAGTGTAAACAAACAGCCTGTCGGTAAAACGGTGAATACGTCCTTCTTAAAAATGAAGAGAGCCTCTTCCTGCTCACGTTTCAAGGAAAACCCCAAGTCTAATCCTTCCAAAACTGATTCCAAAGCTGAGTCAAACGAGAACTGATCAATAGTTGTTGCCATCTTCCCTCTTTGTGCTTTCTCCAGAGTCGCGCAGCTTTGTTGTCACGCCCTCAAAACCCCGCCTACTTTGCATCCAAAAATTCAAAACACATCTCTGCCTTGTCATCGGCCTGCCAGTTCTAGGGCCTGTGGCATTGATCGACACTAGACCACTCACAGGCAAAAATGATTTTGGCTGCATGTGGGTGGGGCTAGATTACTAGGCTAAGGCTGAGTGTCTCTTTGCAACAAAATTAAATATGGGTAAAGAATCTGAAAATAGTTGGCGTGAATGAGGCAAACAGATTAACACACTGAAAATACACAGAAAAAAAATTGAAATATGGCTTATTTCCTGTTGGAATCTGAAGTCTCCCAATTTGCACCAGCAGAAGGTGATAAAGAAGACATCATAGTGTGTGCTGCTCATGTATTGATGTGCACAAAGTGTCTGGTGTGATACTTCACACCTATTTATTCACACATTTCTGTTTTTTTGGAACATTTAAATTTTATCCCATTGGTGACCAAAGTCCTACTTTAAGTTTGCATTCATGGAGATTAAGTATGTAAGTTTAATCAAAATGCAGACCTGCTGACTCAGATCGCATCCTCAACAGCTTGATCTCCTGCTCCCTTTCCTCCAGTACTTGTTGCAGGATGGCCTGATACTCCCTCTCCTTGTGCAACAGCTCCTCGAGCAACCTGCAATCAACCCAGGAAATAAAAACACTGGAGCTTTATTTTGCAACACAAAGAAGCTGGACAGATCAAATGCTCATGGCTAGAACCCTGCTGTAGGGATGTCTGCTCCAACCTGTTGGTCTCCAGCTTCATCCTGCCCAGCTCCATGCTCACAGAGCGCTGTGCGTTGTGGGACTCGTGGGAGACGGTGGAGCTGAGCGTGCTGACTCCTGATGTGGCCACGGTGTCGTCGTGGATGACGGCGGCGGGTGGGCGGCTCTGCTGGGTGGAGTTCCTGCCCGGGTCCACATCGTCGTCGAAGTCGTCCTGATCGGCCGGGTCGCTTTCTGAGGCCAGGCTGAAGTGAGGCCGTAGCTCTGAAAACAACACAAAATTTATTGTTTGTAACACAAGGTGGTTTGATGGGCTTAACCGGCTTCGTTGAACTAAAATGAACAGGTGTGAATATGAAACTACAAATTTTAATTTATAGACTTGATGTCTTTAAGTCTAGGAACTAAATGTTTCATTCAATTTCAGCATATTTTATAATGCTGATTATTTTAGAAGATTAAGATATTTTAGAAACGTTTAACTGGTAAAAAAAAACAACCCAGATAAATAAGCCTTAATAGAGCAGTTTAGAAACATGACTAAGAATTTATCCTGGTATGCTAAAAAGGCAGAGGCTTTGAGTAGCAGAGATAAGAACAAGTTCAATGCAAAGTGAAACTGTAAAAAACGATGCTGTCAAAAAGGTAATTGGCAATGTCTTAACTTTATATATGAGAAAAGATCCAGAATATCTGCACAAAATGTTCAGGTTTTAAAGAATCGCTGCTTGAAAAATAAAACCTTAACTTCAGAAAAAACCCTAAGTTAAACCTACATGTAATTAACCAGAAGCAGAAATGATGTCTCTAAAGTCAAACTTATTTACGGCGGCTTTTTCCTCTAACAGTTCTTAGTAGTTTTGGACATAGTACCTGAGTTTTTCAGGAACAAAATGAAGCTGTTTGTGTCTTTATTTTTTATAGCCCCTTTAACAACAGAGAAGTAATTTGGTTTCCAGTAAGGATATGCGGTAATGTGACTTTAAATCATATCTACCAACAGAACCTCACTATGAGATGTTGGAGTTAGATCAGATGAAATTCCTAAATTCAATAAACATTCACATTTTAATCTTAACAAGTCGTTTTATGACTATTTTTCTACTTAATTAATGAAAATAAAAGGAATAAAAAACTAATATGCAGTGTTTCCCAACTTTTTTTAACTTGGGTACATTTTACCATGAGTTCCACTCTCAGTCAAAAGCATTGATGATTGTACAACAACTGAAATAAATATTGAATTTTAGCATTTAATCTTTATAATTCTATTATTTCCATCTCAAAAATAAAAAAACAACATGTAGAAGTTAGTAAGGAATATAAATATATACAAAATAAAATCCTAATATAAACCTGTATTTATAAAACAGTAGTTCCTCTAAATAACTGCCCTATAATCACATTTAAACTTGATGAATAGGGCACAAAATCCAGAGCAAAAATTATAGTCAGAATGACGTAATTATTTTTACTTTGTTTACATTAAAACACCAAAGCTTGCTCTGATGAGCTCTGATAGGTCAGGTGAGGGAAAACAGCTGATACCAGGCTGTTCTCTACATCCAGGCTGTTCCTCAGCTTGGCTTTGATTTTTGTCTTAACTGAAGGTATACTCAAACATATAAGAAAAATGTACTTTTTAGTTGATAAAAGTTTTTTTTTTTTTCCGATTGCGTCCTCAGAAAGCAAAACAGATCCCAGCCCTATTTTAATACCTGATAAATAAAATACTTCCATGTACCACTTGCAATGCACACGTGGACCACTAGGGGTACACATACCCCCGGTTTGGCATTAAGTATGAAATTATTACATACATTTTAGTAAATGATAAGAGTTTTTAATTAAGATCATTTTCATTTGAATGTGCTTTACTGGAGACATCCCTGTTTGTCAAAGAGCACTACTGCCACCTACAGGTTTGTGACGTCACTGTGTGGTATCGGCTGTTGAACAAGTCCCAGGGCTGTATCTGGTGTTTGTCATAATGCGCTATTATCCATGATGATGACAACCAGTGCACTATGCGAAGCAGAGAGTAATGGATTAATTGCGTGTTTTTTCTCTATCCTGCAGTCGAATCCTCCCTCTTCAAGTTCGCAATCCTACGATGAACCCCTCCGTGGAGGATCATGAATCGGAAAGGTGAAATAACTACTTTGTTTTTTTTCTCTTTTACCCAGTGTATTACAACATCCAACTGCCATGTACGTGGGCATTGTCAGTTCAACTACTTATTGAGAATTTCAATGGTGAAATTCTCTGGATATCTTAAATAATTGTTGTTGATTGCAGATGTGTCTATTAGTTTCCATTGATTTTGCTTGTAAAGCGGGGGGGAATGGCGCTAGGCTTACCGCACCATGACATCACTACCGGAAGATGTCAGGAGTAAGGTGTTACTATATTTGGGCAAAAATGGCCGCTCCCATACTCAGCGATCGCGGCAAAACATAAAGTGATACTGATTAACGCTAAATCCATTAAATCACCACAAGCGCATTAGTTTTAGAAATAAATAACCCAGTGGTTATTCCTTGCTGAACGGACTTTTTCTGTACGCCACGGTTTGTTTAGAATGAAAAGTGGGAGCAGAAAGTAGCAAAAACTGACCGGAGCCCTTTACGATGCTCTTATTGAATGCCGTTAACTACATATTTACTTCTTTTCATATCACACCGAATGAGTTAATTCTGTAAATTACATTTAAGCACAGCCTTTAAACCTTTTTCCAGCCACTTATAATCGGTTAATTCAAGTATTACTGAATTGTAAAATAATACAACTGTTTAAATCGCTGAATAGTATTTCTGATGTTTGACAAATGTTTTTTTTTTTTTCTTTTAGAACACAGGCTCATTTACAGTGGATGGATCTTCACACAGGTTTACAAAATAGAAAAAGATGATTCAAACCAAATATAGGGCTGTGTATCAATAAGGCACCTTATTTGACTTATTTAAGCTGTGGATGTATCACTCCCAACTTTTAACAAATTATTTATCAAGGTAAAAAGCTATTTCAAAAAGAAAATCATCTCTCCTTACAGTCTTTTTCCTAAATATATTTTCTGAACACAAAGCATTTTATCTTACCCCTTTTTTCTATTTCTACTCCAAGCTCAGCTCTGGGATCACACAGCTCATATCCTGATCACTAAGTTGTGCCCAGGAGCAGCTCGGCTCTAATTGCATTATGGGGGCTCTGTTCGGCACACCAAGGATGTTACCTGGAACCAGGATGGTGATGGCAGTCTGCACAGCTTTCCGGATGATGTTGTCCAGAGCAAACATCCAGTGAGGCTTGATGTTGTGATTTCGTAGCACTTTGTTTACCTGGGAATTATTTGCACAGTTAGACCACCACCAAAACACATTTGATTTCAAATATTCTGTCACCAGTTTTTTATATATCTTCTGATATATTTTTGCTCTGATTTTTCATTCAAACTTGAGTCAGAGATGACCAACAGGAGGCGCTACAGCTCCAATGTCGGTCTTCGGTTATGCAATACTCCAGATCAATATAAAAAATACTATTTGCTCATGTTTCGTTTCATCTGCATTTCTAAAAAGGGGGGGTGTATATGAGCCTATTTGCAAAAGATTAAATTACCTCTGGCAGATCCCCTCTTTCACTGAAGCCTTTTTTAAGTGTTTATCTGGTCTCATTGCAGGAGGAAGAGAAAAGAAATAGCTTGCTCTAGAATGCCGCAGGTGTAGAATGCGTGCAATAACACCAACAGGTTGACAGAAAGGTGAGAGGCACCTCTGCCTTCAAAACGGGGATGGATAATAGGCAGGAAGTCACATAATGAGGCTCAAAATACTGGAGAATACTAGTTTTTGAACCCTTAACATTTTTGGACCTTTTCTATTAATATATAACCACATATTTTTGGTTTTTGTCCACATAGGTGAATAAAAAAAGGTAGTGCATATTTTTTAAATGAAAAAATAAGAGATCTGAAATGTGTCTTTGTTTTTATTTGATTTTTTTTTTTGCAATGATAGTTATAAATATATCCAGAAGAACAAAGTCTCTTCAAAATTCCCCCATTACAAAAAAATAAAATAATAAAATCCACCTGTCTGACATATTTGGCTACTATAGCATCCGTTAATCAATGTTGTATTCACTTTCCTTTTTGCATTAAAATAAATTGTGATGTTAGTGCGAGCAGAATCATTTCTGAGGAGACTTACAGCATCTTGAAAGCTGAACAGCACGACCTGCAGCTGACTGATGGCGGTGCTGTCAAAGTCCAGCTCCAGTTTGAGCTGCGACAGCGTGCTGGCGATGATTTTCCTGTCGGCCACGCGGACAAAGTCGGCTAAACTCACAACCAGGGTGGAGATGTGCTGAGGCTTCAGCTTCATTTCCTCAGAGCCCTGGAGGTCAATGATGGTCATAAAACAGACGTTTGTAATTATTTGGGAACTACTGACCCGTCCTTACCCCTCTGAGGCTTTTGTCCACCACCCACCTGTGTCAGAGCCTCCATTAGGTTGCCTACAACCTTGTCCTGGTCCTCAGTCAGGATGCGGTTCAGGGTGGCTCGCCTCTCGCTGTCCTTCCGCAGCATGAAGAAGCCGGTATCCTTCTCATCAGGAGATGGAGGTGCGCTGTGGTCCTCAAAGTTTTCCACAGGGATGCTGAGAATAAGTTCACATATTATTTACACTCAGATTTCTTATTCTAACAAAATTGCAGGTTGATGATTATCAAGAAAACCGACATTTAAAAAATAAATAAATCTGAGAACCGGCTGTGAGGCTGTTCACTTTAAAAACAGGCACATTTGTTCAACTGGATTTATTTCCAGACTTTGACTAGGTCTGACTAGGCTTCTTTTTTTAGTTGCTTACTTTAAACATTTAATGGTGGAGTTGTAATTGTGCCCGGCATTATTTTCTAGCTCCGTTACCCCAAGTGTGCTTGAGCTTAAACTAACAAACCTTTTTGATTCTTAGGAAAATTTGTAGTTCCTCATTTTATGTCAAGTCATCTAGGTCCTAAAGCAACAAATAAGCCGCAGATAATCAATCTACATCCTCCATGAATTAGCTTTAGGTCACATGACACAGCATGCAAGATTTCCAAAAGGTTCCAGAAAAGAAAAAGCCTTGGGTGTAAAGCTGGGAAGATACACTTCAAAACTTATCAGGATATTAGCTGATATTATCATGGCAACAATAAAATTGACAGTTAAAAAATACCCATATCTCTTAGCACGTTTTCCCAGGTAACCCTTTTGGCTGCGACTGCTTATGACAGCAATCAAAGCCCCACAACCACAAATAATACTCTTGAAGAATTTATACACTAAAAATCGTCCTTTTCAGGACACCAGTTGCATAAAATAAAATGATATATATCACTAAACACCTGGTAGTAACCGCATTTACATCACATTCCTCAAATTTGTCAATGCCCCTATGGAAAAAAAACATGCAAGTACTGAAAAAAGTGCAAATAATAGTATTGAAAATTCAGTTTTTAATCATCATTGATTCTAATTTATTTTTTAGATGATAAATCAAAATTCTTAGAATGACTAGAATCTTATTACGATAACGATAAATGACACGTTAAATGTATATTATGAATATTGACCACCTCTGGGGCATCTTTCCAGCCTGTTTCACATTGATAGATGTCAGCAATTTTGTTCCTCATTTGTCCTTGAATTAGTTTGAATCAGAGCAAGTTTATCTTTTGTCTTTTTTTAACAGACCTTTAAGCTACATTTATGCTATCAGGCAGGTTCCATTCAAGTCTTTTGGTTTAGTGTTTAATGTTTCATGTAGTAAGTGGAACTTGTTTTGTACGAAGGTAACCACATATTCATTTCCTTGAACTAGAAATCTTATGCAACATTTTTTAAGATAAATTATGCCTATAGAACTGATAAGTCCTATTTATATCAATCTATTTACAGACTTTTGAAGAGTGCTATTATAATTTAAATATATTGTAAAACCAATTATTTGCTCTAACCCCAGAGACCCTGACAACAGTTACCATTGAATCTACCTGAGGAAAAGAGGCCTCTGCCCCTTGATGTCTCTCTCGCTGTAGCACTTGACGCTAGGCTTGAAGCTGAATGGGTTCGTATTGAGGTCATTGTCTGGAGAGACGGAGCCGTACTCGCTGCTGCTGCTGGTGTCCTCCACCACCACCGGAACCGGCAGGGAGATGCTGCGCAGGTACTCTGAAGAAAAGCAAATCCACGATAATAAAGAGCCTCTGTAATGCTTCCAGAACTACTCACAAAAAAAAATAAAAAATCACAAATTCTAATAAAGTCTGTAATACCAGCTGGTATCCTGTATTAAATTGCCACGAAAAGGATACATTTATATTTGAAGAATAGGGATGAATGAAAGTATTGTGACTTTGCTTAAAGCATCATGCAGCAGATTAAAACAGTAGTGTTTAACTTATAAGCAGGTTCTAAACGGCACGTGGAAAAAGTTGTTTAAAGTTTATTTTGAGTTCTTGGAAAGAGGGGGTAGTGGAACAGAGAGCAGGAAAAGAAATGTAAACTGTGGTTAAGGCACTAGGTTTGCAAAGCAGGCAGATGTTCCATGCAGCTGAAGTTCAGTCGACAAAAGTAGACTACTTAGCAGTAATTAGGTCTCACCTGATCCTGTAGATGGAGCTGTGAAGGAAGATGAGAGAAATTAGAGTTTCTGCAGTTTCATGAGAGCGAAACAGAAGTTTATATAAATGATGAACAAGGAACCGTAACATTGACAAACAGGCAGCCTGCAGAGCAGCTTTAAATCGGTTTCCTAATCTTCTACCCTGTTAATTAGGCAAGTTTTTACATTTGGTTAATTCAATGTTCTTGTATTTAGAAAAGGGTGACCAGATTTTGATTTGCAAAAAAAGAGACACTAGACCATGCAGTGGAACATTTTAATGATACATATTAAAATAATCCCTTCTCTGAGTTGTTAGAAAGAAAAATAAGTAATTACTCTTACGTTTTTACAAGCCAACGAGTACAAAATTAACTGAAAGGATACACAAAATGACATTAAAGATAAAAAAAATCTAAAGTATTGTTTTTTGTATGTTTGATTCATTTATTAACTGCCTCTGAAGCATTTATAAAAGGTTATTATGAAGGTTATTATAAAATGTTACCAAAATAAGTAATCTTTTTCTTGATTTATAATTGGCTATTTATTTTTCCAGGGAAGATATAAGTAACCTTTCCTTTGCTGCACATCTGTAAAGCGTTCACTTGTACTTTAAAGATCTTGTACACAGCAGGAGCAGAACTACCAGTGCCACCCTGATGTCTAAGAGGAGAGCCACCCACATAGCTACAGCTCAGGGACAGAAAAAAACAGCAGAACGGCTCTCGTGTTCCAGTCAACTTAAGCAAAAGCCCATTGGTGCAGTGAAAAATGGAGAAAATCAAACTTTCTCTTTAATAATCTATAAACCATCCCCAGATGCCACAGACAGAGTGTGAAAATGGATGTCTGGGGAAGAGGACATTTAGTCATCCTAAGTTTAAGTTGTCTTTGTTTTCAGCTTCCTGTTTTATTTTGCATAATCTGCTCTGCTCGATTCACTTCCTGTCTGTCTGCGTTTTCTGGTCTCCCGTTGGTTTTGGGTCACTTATATTTATGTTATATTTTGGTATTCTTTATTGTGTTATTTGTATGATAATCATTACAATCACTTTTTTCAGAAACTGGAATCGGATCAAATTTGAGGGTGAAAGTCAGCTACATAATTCTGATTGGTTGGTGCAAAATTAGTTCTAGACACATTTCCTACTATTTAATCTTATAACTAACTGCCTGCAGTACCTTAATATAAACCACTTAATTAATATGCCAACAAACTGCATAAAAAATAAATAAATTTTAAAGGCTTTAGCTAGACAGAATTTGGATGGGTGCATCTACCTGCAAGGCCAGTCCTGCTCTTTTTCCTTCGGCTGGTGACGGTGAGGAACTCGTCGGTGAGCAGGTCGACAGCAGTGGAGCGGCGATCAGGGTCAGGCTCGAAGCAACGCAGGATGAAAGCTTTGGCTTCCGGTGACATTGTGTCTGGGATTTCTGGGTGGATCTTAAACATGCCGACCTGCAAAACAAGGTCACAAAATCTAATCCTGTATGTGAATGATTAGGAAATTGGATGTGCTATCTTATGGTAGTAAATTATTTCAAAAACGCTTCAGGCAAGACCAAGACCTTATAGACAAGTCCAAGACTTTACAAGGTCTTGTCTCGGTACTCCCTGGTTTCAGTGGCTGTGGTCTTGAATACGATACTATAATTTAGGATAAGACAAAGATTTCTCTCCCTTGTTGCATTCACAAGAATGACCTGAAAGCAGATCAGAGCTCTTTTGTTGTTTATGTTGTTTTACAAAAAAAACATAAGGCACCGCTGCTGAGAAACCAGTGTTTTGAACATGTGTCTAAATACAACGGCTTTTTTTCTCCTTATTAGGTACAGTAATCATACAGCATGCCTCTATTACAGATCCACACTCCTTTAATAGAGTCCCATCAGATGGAAAATTCCACGGTGGGAGCTTTTACATGACCACTATAATGTTTTCCAGACATCCAGCTACTCTTTTTAAGTCCTTAATGGGCCTCTCTTGGTTAGAAAAAAAAAATGCTGGAGAGGTTTAACTTTCCAACCACAGCATATAGTATAGAGAGAGATAAATCAAACAAAAGAAAAGTGCATGTCAGCTTGTCAGAGCTGCACCCACCAGGCCACACGTCTGTTTGTGTTCAAACAAACGATCCTGCGAGGACGTTGCTGTTGAAGTTCCTGCTGAGCTCGATCATGTTGCAGCCCTACAGGTGGTGACACAGCGCAGGTGCAAAATACACAACTCTCCAGTTTGGTTTTCATTAAAACAGTGTGTGAGATGCAAGAGTCCTTGGTTACTAGTTAATTCACTTTCCTATCAGCTTCAACAATATTCTTTAGAAGGCCTTTCTTATTTGTCTGGGGTTTAAACACAAACTTTCGCAAAAAAACACGCCTCAAAGACCAAACCTGTCTTTCCTAGACAACATGAAGCCTCAACATTTCCATGGTATTTGTATGTGTTAATAATACATTTGACAGATTGGCAGTGATGGGACTAACG